AAATTGTTTAAACTGAGCCATTAACAGGATATAGAGCTTTCATTTAAATGAGTACAATCAAGAGAAACAAAGGGCACATTTTTTCTCAGATGTGAAAGTTAGGTCTAACATAAATATACATACATATATACATAAACAAATTCACTAAAGCATGGTACATGTAGGGGAGGATTTGTAACTCTTTTGAACAGCTAATAGGTTAGAAAAATGAATACCAGGCAGTTGAAACATGATTTTTTTTCCTGGGGTAGGGGTGGGCTGAAGGCTAAAGGTCAGACGAAGGCAGAGAGGAAGATGGGTGAAAACATTCATAGTATTCAATGTACATATGTACAATGTACAAATGAAACCAGGTTATGTGAGAGGATGGCTGGGGTTGGGATATAATGGCATTGACTGGGATGCACCGTACTCAGAAGTGGACATGCTGAACGGAAACTGCTTTGCACAGCTACTTAAAGATAATAAAAATTGTCAGGTACTGGTGCTCATATCTGTAATTCTAGCTACTCAGGAGGATGAGATCTGAGCATTGTGGTTCAAAGGAGTCAGAGCAGGAAAGTCCAGACACTTATCTACAATTACCCACCCAAAAGGCAGAAAGTGGAGGTGTGGTTCAAGTAGTAGAGCATCACCATCCTTGAGCAAAAAAAGGGACACTGCCCAGGCTGAGTTCAATCCTTAAAACCAGCACACACACACACACACACACACACACACACACACACACACACACAAATAAATAGCAAAGTGAGTAAAAAATGAGTAAAAGGTATTTCCAGAAGACTTGTGAAATATATAAAATAATATTTTGAAGGAAATCTGTGGTAATTCTGTGAGAAATATACAAAACTGTTTTCTGCAAAGTAAACAGCATGTTTTATAAATGGTCTAAAATAGTCATTGTTTTAAGTATGTATTTTAAAAATGACATCTTCTGGGCACTGGTGGCTCACACCTATAATCCTAGCTACTCAGAAGACTAAGATCTGAAGATCATGGTTCAAAGCAATCTCAGGCAGGAATGCTTGTGAGACTTATTTACAATTAGCACCCCCAAAAGAGGAAAATGAAAGAAAAGACAAAAATGATAGAAAAAAGAGCAAACTTGAAATGGAGCCGTGGCTCAAGTGGTAGAGCATCATCATGGAGCAAAAAAGCTCAGGGACAGCATTGTGGTAGGCTCTGTGTTTCAGTTCAAGGACTAGCACTAAAAGAAAAAAAATGACATCATGGGACCAGGTGGATACAGTTCTATGGTAGGGTGCTTGCCTAGTATGCTCAAGGCCCTGGTTCAATCTCCAGCACTGAAAAATATGGGAATGAAACCCAATCACAACAAACACAAACACTGGCAAAGAATTATATTGCTCATCAAAAACATTCTGAAGGGGAAGTGGCGCTGTAGCTCAAGTGGTAGAGCGCTCGCCTTGAGCTGAAGAGCTGAGGGACAGAGCCCAGGCCCAGAGTTCAAGCCCCACGACCGACAAAAAAAAAAAAAACATTCTGAAGGGGCTTTTAGAGGACAGAATCCAGAGGCTGGTCTTAATTACTTCACTGTTTGAGAAGTTTCACTATCAGAAATAAGTAGGAAATGGCAGATCCTAAGTATTAATAAATGAAAATAGGAAATTTGACTTTGCTCTTGGTAAATGAAGAAATAGTATTTTCCATACTGTCATCCTTGTAGTAAAGTATGTATTTTGTTACATATTTTTACTTTGTGTCTTAAGAAAAATGCCTTTTTTTTTTTTTTTTTTGGTTGTGGGGCTTGAACTTTGAGTCTGGGCAATGTTCCTGAGCTCTTCAGCTCAAGGCTAGTGCTCTAGTACTAGAGCCACAGAGTGGTTTATTGGCAATAAGAGTCTCATGGACTTTCCTGCTGGGGCTGGCTTTGAACCATGATCCTCAGGTCTTAGCCTCCTTAGTAGCTAAGATTATAGGTGTGAGCCACCAGCGCCTGGCTAAAAATGACTATTTCAAGTGTTTCTAGGATATAAAAGGTGTATTGAAGTATTTGAATTTAATGTTCTAACACCCACAAAGTAACAAGGGGGATAAGCACTATGGCTCACACCTGTAACCAAAGCTACTCAGGTGGCAGGTATCTAGAGGATCATTGTTGAAGGCTAGTCAGGCAAAAAATAGGAGAAAACTCATCTCAATTGAAAAAAGCTGGGCATGGTGATGCAAATCTGGTATCTCAGTTGTGAAGAAGGTATAAGAAGATGGATCAAAGTCTAAGGCCAGTTCAGGCAAAATACAAGGCTATCTGAAAAAAATAATAACCAGATTAGAAATGTGGCTCAAGTGGTGGAATGTCTAAGCGAGAATGCAGTTCTGAGTTCAAACCCCAGTATTACCAAGAACAATAATAATAAGCCAACCCAAGGAAAATGTTCCATTTACTATTTTAGATATGAATAATAGGTAGTTCACACTTGAAATCAGTGGAATACAAATGAAATACTATTTTAGTTGAGATTTAAAAGTTGTGCATATTCTGGCCAAAAACTTTCCAATTAGTGTTGTTGAACTTATGTGATTACACTCCTTTGGGAAAAGACTTTGGGTCTGTCTGAAAACTGCTTTTCAGAACTACTCATTATAGGAGCTGGGAAGGAGGCTCAGTGGTAGAGGCCCTGAGTTGATACCTCAGAACCATATATGTAGAGAAGCCAGAAGTGGTGCTGTGGTTTAAGTGGAAGAGTGCTAGCCTTCAGCTGAAGAGCTTAGGGACCGTGCCCAGGCCCAGAGTTCAGGCCCATGACCGACAAGAGACAGAACTGCTGATTATATTGGTTGGGCATTTTATTTTATTATTTTATTTAATGGTTGGGCATTTTATTTTATTATTTTGTTTAACTTCATTTTATTTCATTTTCTCCTTAAGAATTATTATCTTCAAATAGCTGTGCCAAGGGGTTTTAGAACAGAGTCACCCCTTTGGTTGGTTTTTAAATCATGTATTCCTCAAAATTACAGATTCCTAATTAAGTTATTAAATTATTTAGTGTAGCTTTTAGGCTTTTGTGAAATTCAATAAACTTAGATGGAATTTAAAGAAGTGTTTTGAAAAAAAAACAAGCACTAAGCAAAATGAGGGGATAGGGGACAAAAGAATCACCCTTCAATTTCACCAATTAACATGCAAAAGAGTCAGAGCTCCACAGAATGGACAGAGAGGAAAATCATACATTCAATTAAAAGTAAGGACCAGGCTAGGCACAGGTCCTGTTATTACAGGCAATATGCCTGTAATCCTAGCTATTCAGGGAGTCTAGATATGAAGATTGAAGTTCAAAGCCAGTTGGAGCAGGAAGGTTCATGAAACTCTTACCTCCATTTAACCACTCACTAAAAAGCCAGGTGCGGAGCTCAAGTGGTAGAGTACCAGCCTTGAGTAAAAAAGCTAGGGGATAGTAGCTGGGCCCTGAGTTCAAGAGTCAGTAACAGCACAAAACAAACAAAAAACCACTAACAACAACAAAAAGCAAGAATTCTGAAAAACAAGGGAATTCTGAAAAATACTTTACAAAAACCAGCTGGATTTTAAGAGGGTATAGCAAAGAAACTCTTAAACTGTTGATAAAGGACTTAGCTAGCGGAATAAACTGATTTCATTTTCTTTCTTGCTGCTCACAATCCTTTTTGTTAGTTGTGAAGCAAAGCAGAATGCTCCATGCCTTGGGAAGTGTTGCTCACTGCATTAAGTAGGACTTTCGGGAAACTTAATCTTCCTCTGCTAGATAGGATGTGCTGTGCGGTTGCAAGTCAGACTGACTGCAAGAATGAACTAAACAGTTTTGCTTACATTTTAGGGTGTCTCATGATGCCATCAAGATGACTTCTAGAGGAGCAATGTCTGATAGAAATGTTACATATTTTCTTTGTCTAATAGGGTGGCCATCAGCCACTTAACATTTCTTGCATGCTTAAGACTGTGAAATATGAGACTCATCAATTGAATTTTAAATTGTATTCCATTCTAATTAATTCAATAATTTTTATGTCAATACTAGAATTTGAACTCAGGGTTTCTCACATTCTCAGCAAGCATGCTACCACTTGAGTCTCACTCACAATCCTTAATTAATTTAAATTAAAAGGACCTCCCTTAGGTTAGATCTAAAATATAAACATATGTGAAAGCATGTACAGGGCCATATACAAACTAACTGAAGGATACTCTATGCAGGGGCCATTTGCCATGATATGGCTATTTTGAACACTTAACTGATATTAAATGAATACCAGAAAGCTGAAACATGTCTTATTTGAGGGAATGGAAGTTAAGGGGAAGGGTATGACCAAATGGAGAGAGGAGAGTAGGTAAACACATCATAATACTATATATACACATGGAAACAGAGCTAGGGACCAGGAGCGGATGGGCGTGGTTGGGATAGATGGGGGAGAATGGTGATCAAGATGTCCGGTACACCTAAACAGACATAATGATTTGAAACCTCTTTGCACAACTATTTAAAGATAATAAAACAAATTTCAAAGAGTGTTGGTAGCTTATACCTGTAATCTCAGCTAACGTAGGAGGCTGAGATCTGAGGATCTTGTTTCAAAGGCACCCCAAAGCAAGAAAGTCGGTGAAAGTCTTAACACCAAATGACTAGTCAAAAGTTTTAAGTGGACTGTGCCTCAAATGGTAGGTTGTCAGCCTTGATTAAAAGCACTATGTGACAGTGCCCAGGCCTGAATCCAATCCTCAATATTAGCACACACATACACACACAGAGACAAATAAATTGCTATCTGTATAAGAAAGAGCCTCCTGTGACCAGTGACTTGGCTTTTCAAACTCTACCCACCTTTCATAACATATTTTCTGTTGAACACAACAGTTTTACATTAAGAGAAAAAAATACTGCACGTTTGACTAGGCACCTGGATGAAAATCGAAAGAAGTTCTTGTGGAAACACATAGAACTTGGTAAGACAGTAACTTAAGTCTGGAATTATTTTGTTCTAGAGAGTTCACTAACCTGATAGCTCGAATGACAGTCTTGAGTGGCGGGGTGAGATCTTCCACTGACACATCACACTGGCATCCTTTATCATCGTAGATGTCATCCGTGCCAAGGGCTGTGTCAGCTGTAAGAGAAGTTAACACCAATTGGAAATGCCAAGGTGTGCATAAGATAAGCCAAGTGCTATCTAGTTGTCTCTTTCTCCTTTGTTTGCACACTAACCCTTTTTTTTTGTGTGTGACTCCACACACATCATTTTCTGAGCTGTTTTTTCCACAGGAAAGATGCTGGTGATGGATTTGTGTTAATCCATCCATGCTCTTTTGCCCAGTTCCATGGGAACTAAATACCCATCATCTAAGTGACAGCTGTTTGGAGTTAAGGAAACAGTCTTGGACACGTCACGAACTGGCTTGTATTTACAGAGCTCGAATCCCATGACATTGACCCAAGAGTCCTGTGCTCACTGAACAAGCAAGCTAAGCAGCCAGACCTAAGAGCATAGACTCCTTATTAGTTCCTGGCCACCAGCAGAGGCTTGAGAGAGAGAGCTTTTATAACACCACATGGCCAAAGCTAAGGGCAGATTTGCAGATTGGACATGAAAACCCAGTACCTCCTAACCCCGTTCACTTTACTTTGGGGTTAATTGCTACATATGGTAAAAGTGTAGGGTTCCAAGGAACACTAAATTATTGACGTTTCATAAAATTACTACAGAATATACTTGGCAAATGTGACAAACTTGTCTTTGTTTTGAATACAAGACTTTCAGAAATGTAGGAAATCCATGATAAATGACAGACAAAATTGCTAAAACCATTTCTTAAAATTTGAGATGAAAAAGTTGCCGAAGTTGATATCCAATTTCTACATGTATTTTTCTTTCTGTGTGTGTGTGTGTGTGTGTGTGTGTGTGTGTGTATCATGGGGCTTGGACACTCTGGGCTTGGGTACTGTCCCTAAGCTTTGTGCTCATACATTTGAAAAGTAATTTCAAATACAGACAAAAGTTAGAAAATCAGAACAAAGTTTTCTCCCCTTAATTATGAGAACAAAATGATGACATGATGCCCTGTCAACTCCCAATATTTCAATGAAAATTCCTCTTTCTTTTTTCTTTCTTTCTTTTTTCTCTCTTTCTTTCCTTTTTGCTGATCTGGGCCTGGGTAATCTCTAAGCATTCATGCTCAAGGCTAGCACTCTACCCCTTGAACCACAGCTCTACTTCTGGCTTTTTTGGTGGTTAACTAGAGCTAAGAGTTTCATGGAATTTCCTGCTTGGGCTGGCTTCTAACTGTGATCCTCAGATCTCAGCCTCCTGAGTAGCTAGCATTACAAACCCGAGCCACTGGCCCCTGGTAGATGAACTCGTTTTTATGACTTCTATTTCTTTCCTCTAGGATAGTAATAGTGATAATAAACACAGTAACAAGAGATTTTTAGTGAAACCTAACTATGTGCCAAAAACTTTAACTAATTGCTACAAAATTTCATGAGATCTGTACTATTATTATTCTTTGGTTCCTAGACTGTGGAAAAGAGGCACAGAAGGCTTAAGGAACTGGCCACAGGGCACACAGAGATAGCAACAGAAGCAGAATTTACATGCATGTGTTTTTCTGCACATAGTTCTTCCTGCCTGTCATAAAGGAGCCCACAGCCTTGACCAAGGACCCAAAGTTAGAGCAGGTCATGGGTTAAGCCTACCCATATCCCAAAAGATATCTGGACATAACACACCATGAAACTTCCCAGAGGATTATGAAGGGTGGAGGACGAAGACAGGTGGACAGGTGGGCTCACTTACAGACTAGTTAGTAATCAGAGCTGAGGTCATCAGCTGCCACAAAGGAGCCCTCTGAGAGGCTAGGTGTTACCATCTCAAGAGAGTGCTATACTTTCCCTAAGTTTCCCCCCCCACCACTTTTTTTTGCTCCAGGCTAGCACCCTACCACTTGAGCCACAGTTTCACTTCCAGCTTTTTGGTGGTTAATTGGACATAAGGGTCTTTGAGTTTGTAGCCTGGCTGGCTCCAAACCATGATTCTCAGATCTCAGCCTCCTGAGTAGCCAGGATTACAGGGTGAGCCACGCAGGCACCTCGCTCAAGAGTATTTTATGCTGTCCTTTGAAATAGAGGCAGAGGACTATCTTCCTTCACCTGAAGCCTTATATCCCTGGCAGCTGGGGAATACTGGAGATGATTCAGGCAAAGCAGATGCTATAACATCTGTATTGATGACCACTCTACTTGAAAACCACATAGCCAGTCATAGCATGATAATAAAGGTTCAAACACCTAAGTAACAGAAAATGTAGGGTTATGGCTCAGCACTAGTGGCTTACGCCTGTAATCCTAGCTACTCAGGATGCTACTGAAGATCCCAATTCAAATATCAGCCCAGGCAGAAAAGTGCATGAGACTCATTTCCAATTAATCAGCAAAACAGTTGGAAGTGGAGGTTGTGACTCAAGGGAGAGAGTGTCAGTCTTGAATGAAAAACCTAAGCAAGAAAAGGAGACCCTTAGCTCAAGCCTCAGTGGGGTCCTTTAATTGTGAGGTGAATGGGAAACTACTATTTTTTTTAGCAACTGTATCCTGTCAAAATAGCTAAAAATCGTTCTGTTGAAAACGAACTTTACTACTTTGGTGGGGGGAGAGGGGGAGTGGAGGATTGGGTGGGGGGAAGGGGGGAGGAGGATGGGAAGGGATGGGAAGGGGAAACAAAGGAGGAGGCTAAACCCTCTGTACAGTATTTTCACAATAAAAAATAGCTAAAAAAAAGGAAGATGATGACAGCAACTGACTGCATATGGGGTAGAGCCATCCCAAATAATTACAAGACAGCCATACCCTCTTAGCTCCTTAAGTTCCCAAAAGAGACCGACAGTTCTCTATTCTATTGGAGAACAAGGCTGAATGGAGGACAGGAGTCAGACTCCAGTCGTATTCCATTCAGCTGAGTCCTTTGGGGCAGCTTTTGAATAGCACTTTACTCATTTATTTATATCCTTGTGTGTGTGTGTGTGTGTGTGTGTGTGTGTGTGTGTGTGTGTGCCAAAATAAGGGCTTGAACACAGGCTCTCTCACTTTCATTTGGCATTTTCACTCAAAACTAGCACTTTTCCACGTGTGCCCAGCCTCCACATCTGGCTTTTCAATGGTTAATTAGAGATAAGAGTCTCATGGACTTTCCTGTCCAGTCTGGCTTCAAACCTTGATGCATGGATCTCAGCCTCCTGAGTAGCTAGGATTACAGGCGTGAACCATCAGTGCCTAGTTTAGTATTTCGATTTAGAACTTGATTATTCAAGGTACAAATAAAACACACAGTTCTACTTCCCATTTATTTTTCTGAGAGGTTGGCTTAGAGCAAATAAAGGGCACATCTATCCTTGCCGGCACATGTCAGGGCAGAAGCTGGATTAGGCTTTGCTTTTTCCTCAAAGCCACGAAGTGAAGAAGATACTATTATCACTTTTGCTTCTTGAGATGTCTGTTTTCTTTCCAGTAAGGTTAATGATACATTAGATGTCTCTCTTATTATTTCTAAAGGCATAAAGCCCTCTATCAGTGATACAACAGCAGGGGATAAATTTTGAGCTAGATCTGTGCCCTCTAGGGCCATGTTTGCTTTAGTCCTGGCCTTTTGGAGCATGTGAGTTCCAGGAATCCAAGCAGGTAGGAACAGTGAGCTGAAAAAAGTCAAGTCACAAGGGCAAAATGCTAATGGAACAAGGTGACCCTCAAAAAACTCTGCCTCCAGTGGACTATCTTCCTGGACAGGCCCAGCCTATACCTGTGCACAGCGCTTGCTTCCCATGGTGGAGATAAAGGAACATACATATATATGATTCCTTGTTGACCACAGCTTTTCTTTTTTTTTTTGGTCAGTCATGCCTGGGTGCTGTCTCTGAGCTTTTTCCCTCAAGGTTAGCTCTCTACCACTTTGAACCACAGCACTACTTCCTTGTCTTTCATGTGTGGTAATGAGGATTGAATTTAGGGCTTCAATTTCTTTAGGTAATTGTTCTACCCCTAAGTTTTAACTCCAACCCTGCTTCGTATTAATTATCAGTGGTCTTGATTTGTTTCCATCTACAATTTCAGCAAAATTTAAAATTCAATTTTGACAAACCACTAATTCAATTGCAAGTTTCCACATACTGTGACAAAAAAAAAGAACCACTTGACACGTGTAATTCCTACACTTGGGATACTGAAGCAGGAGGAGGGTTGCCAGTTTAAGGCTAGTCAGGCCTACACAGTGAGACTCTGTCTCAAGAAGCCAAAAAATGAAAAGGATAATTCTGAGTCATATGTACTAATGTGAAAATATTTTAAAGTGTACAATTAAATTGCAATGTGAAAAAAGATACTTTGGTTATGTATAATATGCAAAAAGGAAAACAGATAGAAGATAATATGTAAAAATGAAATAAACTATTCAAGGTCATGAGCTCATAGATGATATGTAGCTCTTCAAAAATTCCTTAATGAGTTTAAGGTATTTTTCCCACTATAAAATTAATATTTACTTTTTTGGACAAAGGATGCTGGAGGTTGGACCCAGAATCTCATTAATACTAAATATGAATTGCACCACTGAGCTACACTTTAAGCCACTAAGTAGAGTATTTGAAAAAATGGAAAAACAAATTAGAATGAAGAAAAATAAGTCTTTCAAAGTTCCAGAACAAAAAAAAAGTTCCAGAACAATCTATTTTTATTGTAGAATTAAGTTGCTTTGTGCAATTTATTACACTGTGGCATGAAAACATACATTGCAATGGTCACAAGTGGATGACATTGATCAAGATGCCTTTTACTTATAAACTGATAAGGTGAACCAGGTGCCAGTGGCTCACACCTGCAATCCTAGCTACTTAAGAGTTTTGAGACCAGAGAATCCCAGCTTAAAGCCAACCTGGGCAGAAAAGTTGATGAGACTCTTACTTATATTTAACCAGAAAAAAAACTATAACCGGAGGTTATAGTGTGCCAGCCTTGAGTGAAAACACTCATGGAGCATGCAAAGCCCTGAGTTCAAGCCTCAACACCAGCACAAAGAAAACAAAAACAAAAACAAAACCAAAAAACTGACATGATGAATGGAAGCTT